GCCTGGCACCTTTACCTAGTATACTATGCCAATTGTACCTGTTCTTGTTGATAACGCTATTGTTACCTTGTTTATTGTTTGTCTATTGCCTTGCAGGCTGAGATGCTGGCACTGTTTAGCATCCCGTGGGCTCCACGCTGCTCCTCATCACCCACCTACAGCAGCCCTCGCCGTGGAGACACGGCGGCGATGGTTACACCGGAGATGAGGTGCAGGGATAGCCCTGTGAATACGAGGTTATGTTTTTCTTTTTTTGTTTTTTACCTAAGCTGCATTAACATACCTGCCTGTGTTCCACTCATTTTGTATCACACAGTGACAACTTCCCTACTCCCTTTTCACCCCCCCAAACCCCCTCCTAGAGATGATCACTTAACTAATGACTACACTACGTCCTGCCCTCCACGCCCGGGTGGACAGGGCACCTCCACACCCCTTGAAATGCTACTGGGCATTTCTCCCCATTGCTCAGCATTGCATTGCTGTTATGGAATGTTACTACTCTTCACTCTTCTAGTTATACCTTTTCCCAGCTCTCCTCTCCTCTCACTCTTACCCCTCCCTCCCCCGGCACTGGTCCTAGTCTGGATGATCCCGAGTCACTTAACCAACCTCACAGTTGCTGTAGTTAGCATCGATTTGCCCACACTAACATAACAATGTCTGGACAATCCCTCAAAATTATCTTGCACAACGGGCAAGGTCTTAACTCACCCCGCAAACGTAGGCTCGCCTTCAACTACTTTTCATCCCACCAGGCCAACATCGTATGCTTACAGGAAACTACATTTTCCATGACCTCTCATCCTACTTACTTCCACAAAAACTATCCACAGATATTCCAGGCTATGTTCTGTGGAAAAAAAGAGAGGTGTCCTCATCGCATTCCATAAAAACACCCCATTTGTATGCACCCAAGAAATAGTAGACCCTACGGGTAGATATTTATTGTTAAAGGGCACAATCTTCGATGTGGACGTAACACTGCTTACCTACTACGCACCCAACACTCACCAAACTCGCTTTTTTTCCCCACTTATTGGCGGTGGCTGAGAAGCATAAAAGGGGAACACTAATAATGGCTGGGGACTCCAACCTTGTCCTTGACCCCAAGCTCGATAAATCTGGTCCCACTACATCCCCCACTCCTCACCACACCAATCTCACCCTGCCCCCCCTCTTCCGTACTCTATTACATGAACATAACCTTATTGACGTCTGGAGAGATCGCCACCCAACCACCAGAGACTACACATTCTATTCACACCCCCACGCTAGTTCCTCCCGAATAGACCACATCTTTATACAGCCCAACTTTCTCCCGTCCGTCGGGGACGCCCGCATTCTCTCTGCCTCCTGGTCGGACCATTCCCCTATGTCCCTCACTTGCAAATCCCTATTCCCTGCCTCTTCCCAATTCCGCTGGAGATTGAATGACTCCCTTCTCTCCTTTGCTGACTCTGCCCAACACATTCAACTGTGCCTTTCCCACTTCTTTGCGGAGAACGCTTTGTCGGTCACTTCCCCGATTTCTGTCTGGGAAGCCCACAAAGCGACCTTACGGGGCAAGCTCATCAGTCTAGCAACTCGCCGAAAGAGGGAACGGACCAAAAGGGTTTCAGATCTCTCCGCCGCATTGGAGAGACTCGAGTCTGACTGGAACACTGCCCCCTCGATCTCCTTACGGAAAGAGATTGACTCAGTTCGGTTGGAACTGAACCTCCTCTTAAAATGACTCAGCGGAAAAACAGCTCCGCTGGACTAAACGCAAGTTCTATGCGTGTGCCAACAAACCTGGCCATTTATTGGCCAACATGCTTAAATCTAAACCGAGGGCCAGGCCCCCGGTCAGACTCCGTCTCCCCAATGGAGCCATAACGGCTAACCCATCCACCATCCTTGAACGTTTCTCCTCCATCCTCTCTAAGCTGTATGGCAAACCCTCCACCTTCCAACCCCAACAGGCTGATGCATTGTTTAAGGACGTCGCCCTGCCCACACTCACAGAGAACATGAGCTCTCTTATGGCCCAGGACATTACTCCAGAGGAGGTCCTTCTGGCAATCAAATCCCTTAAACCCTCCAAAACACCTGGCCCAGATGGATTCTCGGCCCTGTATTACAAAAAGTATTCAGACACCCTGGCCCCTAATTTAACGGCCGTGTTCAACTCTCTAAAAAAGGCTAACAATACCCTCCACCCAGCATCCCTGCTAGCCCATATAGTCATGATCCCCAAACCTGACAAAGACGTTCTTGATCCCCATAACTACAGACCCATTTAATTATTGAATATCGACGTTAAACTCTTGGCCAAGATATTGGCCACCCGCATGAACACAATCTTACCAGACCTAATACACCGAGACCAAGTGGGCTTTGTACCCTACAGACAAGTCTCAGACAACACCCGGAAAATTGTTCATCTTGTACACCACATGCACCACGCCAACATCCCCGGAATGCTCCTATCACTAGACCTCCAAAAGGCATTTGACTCTATTTCCTTGGACTACCTCTTTTATGTCCTCCGCAAATGGGGATTTCCGACTGACTTTCTCTTCTGGATCAAAGCCCTATACAGCACACCAGCAGCTGCAGTCAGTTACCTCAGTTATCTCTCCCCCACTTTCCCAATTCTGGGTGGTACTCGTCAGGGTTGCCCCCTCTCACCCCTACTTTTCCTCTTAGCCATCGAGCCTTTAGCCCACTTAATCCGAACTAACCCCAATATCCACGGTATCACCAAAGGAACAGCAGAATATAAACTCCATATGTTCGCAGATGACCTGTTACTCACCCTCTCCCAACCCATCATCTCCCTCCCTAACCTATTCTCACTCTTACGCTCATTTGCCCAAGTCTATAACCTAACGGTCAATAATGATAAATCTTGCGCGCTTAACATCACACTGCCAACCCGGCAGGTGTCCGACCTCACCCACAATTTCCAATTTAAATGGCACGCTTCCCAAATAAAATACCTTGGGGTGCACATCTCAAACACCTACGATACTCTCTACGCCGCCAATTACCCCCCGCTCTTTGGCGCCCTCAAGGACCTCTTGTCCTCCTGGACACGACACAATTATGAAAAAATATAATAAAACATGTAAAAAATGATTTTAAAAAAGTGAAAACAGCCTCCCCCCCTGCCCCCCCATACATATTATTAGACAAGTGGAAAGACTAAAAATTCATTTCAGATGAAATGAACGAAAACTAAAAAAGTTTTCATTTGATTCATCAAACAAAACACTTTTTTATGCTATTTTGGATTCAGCCATTGGCGTGTTCTGGAGGCAGGGTGCATGACATCATATAACACCGCACGTGTTGGGCGCCGTCATCTTGGTGTATATCAAGGTATACACCAAGATGGTGGGGCCAATATTGGCGTGTGACGTCACCTGAAGCCACGCATGCATGGCGTCATGTAACGTCATGCTTCCTGCCTCCAAGATGGTGGCACGCAATCACAGAACACGCCGGTGGCCAACATGGCCGCCGCACATTCTCAAACAAATTATTATGCGCCTGAATACATTTTTCGTATATTCGGACATATAGTATTCATTCATTTTACAAGTAGTCTAGGTTTTGTGTTCTGTTTTCTATTTTTACTTTTTCTAGATGCACTTGAAAAAAATGGATTGGCATGACAGCCTGACACTTTATTTTTATAGACTCTATTTTAGTTTGACATTTATTGTTTAACTTCTGTTGTTTTATTTGATAAGAATACTTATATTGTGCTTACAAGTTTAATACCTTTGAATAAAAGTTTTATTTTTCATATTTATCATACTTTTTATTATGTTTCTTTGCAGCTTAACAAAATAGGAGTCTTTAAATGGTGCGGATATTGGGAAAATGGGTGTGGTTACGGGGGGGGGGGGGGGGGGTGTGTGGCCACTGAGGGGCGCTGTAAAGCTTTCTCACGCAGGGCGCCTAAAGGCCTAAGGCCGGCCCTGGCTTTGTGGTCCCAATTCTTCTATGAAGACCACTTCTGGCCAGACTTCTCCGGACAGTAGAAGGGTGTACCTGTGTCCCACTGGTTTCCACCAGTTTGGTGCTGATGGCAATTGTTTGATGCTGGACATCTTCTGATGCTGAAGAGAAGGAAGCATGATTTGTCTCATCTGCTGCATCAAGTTTCCTTGGTCGATCACTCCACCTACGGTCCTCAACCTTGCCAGTTTTTTTGTGCTTCTTTAAAAGAGCTTGAACAGCACATCTTAAAACCCCAGTCTGCTTTGAAATCTTTGCTTGGGAGAGACCTTGCTGCTGCAGTATAGCTACCTTGTTTCTTGTTGCTGTGCTTGGTTTTGCCATCGTATATGTCCTGGGACATGAAGCAGTCTTCCACAACCTCACCTTAGTAGCATAGTTTGGCTGTTCCTCACCCAGTTTTAAGCCTCCTACACAGCTGTTTGTTTATGACTGTGTTTCAACCTACACATCAAATTGATGATCATTAGCACCTGCTTGGTATAATTGGTTATTCATACACCTGATTAATCCTACAAAATCCCTGACTTTGTGCAAGTGTAAGAATTGATGCGGGTTTGAAGCCAAAGGGTAGTCACACCAAATATAGAATTGATTTAGATTTTAGTTCTCTTCACTCATTTTGCAAATTGATAAAAATAAACAATACAAATATATATTTTTAAAAAGTATTCTTACTTTACAGCAGTTTTTCACACCTGCCTAAAAATTTTGCACAGTACTGTACAATACAAGGTTTTTAGCAAGTTTTACTGCAGAGACTTACCTGCAGATGTTTGCTTAAACTAGCAAATTTATAGAACTCTCTTTCTACTTCCTTAAGTCACTGCTTATCTCCCGAATGCTGACTGGGAGGGTCTGTCTACTATAGATGCATGATCATGGACAGAGTGCCTCCATTTTACAAGGAAGCCAATTTTGAATTTTTGTTGGCAGCTTCAGAAATTCAAACCTGTCTGCTAAACAAAATAGTCTGTGCAGCAATTGTAAATACTATCTTTTTATTTAATTTTCTTACAAAAAACTGTAGTTAACTGTTAAAAGGAGGTAATGGAAATTATGTCCATGGCTTGGTCCGTCAGATGGTTACTTTATTTTCTAATTTTCCCTTGAAAAATGGCAGAAGGAAAACAGGTATCCATGATAATCAATGTATTTATAAACATTAATATAAAAAGACCGGACTTATAAACTGTACAATAAAAAATTAAATTATAATCTAAATAAAACAGATGCAAATTAGTGTCAGAGTAAAAACACAGTAGAAAGTGTAGGGCATGAGGTTTTTCTTTTTTGAAGAAAGTAGTTATAAATGTTCTTCTTTGTAAGGTGATGTTTCTGTTACTTGAGAAGCAGGCATTGTTGATATACAAAAAGAAGTGCTTGCCCTAGCTGGTGTGCTAGTACAGTTATACTCGTGGTTCAGGGAAACAAATTCCTGTCGTAGTAAAGTTGGTTGATGAGCACTTGAAAAAGCATAGTCAACAGAATTGGAGCAACCAGGTATTTGACAAGAATAGTGGGGACTTTGAAAAAGAGAAATACTTGTTTCTTCAGTGAGTTTTTTCATCATTCCTTTGAACAAAATATCAGTGATAAGAACCTCTGATAATAGCCTTTGCTTTTCATCCATTTTGCGTAACTTTGCTGCAACAGTAACACCAAATGCATCAAATTCATCTTCTTTTTGATTGAGAACTGCAGTTGCGTCATTAAGTAGCTGTCTGCTCAGTTCTTCATTTACTGTCCTTCGTCTTTTCTGGTTTTGAATTGGAGAGACTTGCTGGGGCATTTCAAGTACTTCATGGATTTGGGGACGAATACAAACCTAGTCGTTGTTAAAAGGGAAAAAAAATACATATGTAATTACCATTTATACCTGATATCACAATTGTTTGAGCAATTTATTTAAAAAACCTGTAGCCTAAGACACAGAACCCCCCCTAACATTTGCATAGTATACTGTGCATCACCAGGTGCCTGCATGTGGTTTTAATGTTCTTACGGAGAGTCCCCAAACCCACCAGGGTGCTTTAATATGCCAACAACTAACTTACATTGTTGCCAGCACAGACTCTCACCTTGCTGCACCCAATTACAGGTAGGTTGGGCCTCTATTACAATTATAGTCCAACATAGGGATACAGTAGACAGAGTTAGATGACCAGTATCGGCAACAACGGGAGGGGGTTGCTGTTAGCATGTCAGAGTAACCTGGTTTCCTGGGGGAATCTGCAAAAAAAAAAAAAAAATCTCACATTTACCACCTGGAAGAAGTGTCTAGTATGGCATGTGGCAGATTCTCATATAAATGTAGACACAGATTTGCTTTAAAAATACATCTGCTACTACCCTGGGTAATTGATAAAATGTATAAGCAGAGGTTAACTTGAGTTAAAAATGGAGTTGGATGCAAATCTCAACCTTCCCTATAAAAAATAGGATTTTATTTAGGGAGATCTCCCCCATTGCATTAAAGGACTAATAAGGAGCCATGAGAGAGTAGAGACAAATCCTTGTACAGGAAACATTAAAGTGACACTAAACTCCGGAATAAAATCTTAAAAATGTATTCAAGTACCTTAGCTATCAACATGCAACTTATTTGTGTATCACTCAGCTGTAGATCCTCAAATCATCTCTGAATTTGTGCAGATACTGTCTTTCCTCCTGGAGGGTGGCTACTTTTGTTCCCCATGGTCCCGTGTGTGTGTTGCCAAGTAGCCACTGCTCCAAGCTCACTCACGTGATAGACTACAACCTCAATACAAATTAGTAAACTAAACGTGAGCTTGTAGTCCATAACGGCAGCGAGCATGGAGTGGTGGCTACTTTACAATGCACACAAGGACCATGGGGAACAAAAGTAGGCAACCTGCAGAAGAAAGGACAGTGTCAGCGCAAATTCAGAGAAGATTTGAAGATCTACAGCTAAATGATGCAGAAATAAAACTACATTTTGTTAATAGTTAAAGGTACTTGAATACAATTTTAAGATTTAACTCCTGAGTTAAGTGCCCCTTTAAAAGTTGTACATAACTTGCACTGCCTGTATGCAGGTCTACTGATCATTAGACACAGAGGCTGATTTACTTAAGGATTTGAGAATGTTCACACAATAAATTGTTTGAAGATACACTTCAATTGTCTGATCAAGTGAAGAATCCTTTTTACTTATTTCATCTGCATATGATGGGATAACTGAAGTACATATTCTACAATCCATTGTGTAAACAGTCTCAAAATTGTTGCTAAACCAACCTCAGTCGTCACTGAAGGAACCTTTGATCATGCAATTTTTCATCAAATGCTCAGTTTAAATCACCCAGGTTTGTAACAAGGTTACTTTAACCATGGGATCCTGCTTCTTGCCTTTATAATAAGTAAAAATAATCTACACTCCCATATTTAAAGACAAATTACCAGTGTTTTACAGAAATATACCTATGACAGTGCATCAAGTATTTGGGCTGCTGCTGGACTAAATTATAATTGTTTTCTTGTTATTTATATTTGTTTGTTCTGACTTGGCAGATATATGAACAGGACAGTCCAGACTATACTTTGATTAACTGTTGATCTTTCCATGGTGCCTTGGTGTAAACACAGTGGTACCTTCATAATTCACTTCATCAGCCATTTCAAATGCACTTCTACTTTCCCCAAATTGTACAGTTTAAGAAGACTTATCAGTGCTTTTGCAAATAAAATGTCAGCCTCTTTGTCAAACGTTAACATCAAACACAAACAGCTGTAGCACATGACTGTCATCGGAACAGCAGAGGCACCTTTGATGTGTGGGCTGTAATTGCCAGCCTGACTGTATCTTCTCCATGCTGTGTAAGAAGCTAAATGGTAGCCCAATGGGTGAATAACAGGTTTTTGGGGGACAGACTTGAGCCAAGAGTTTGTTCAATGATTATGATCCAATGATATCCAATTATAAGCTGAATAGTTAAAAGTTGGTTTATGTATCCACTGGCAATGAATCATGTTGGTTTAAACAGGTACAGTGTAAAATGAACACAGGTGACCTATGTATGATTCCAAACAAAAACATCAACTTGCTGCTCTTGATAAAAAAAATCTGTAACCCCATTTTGATGCATTTTCAGAAACAAAATGGATAATGGAGAATGATGAAATATTAAGAAGAAAATATTATGGAGAGTGAAGTATGGCAACTTTACAAAAAAAAACAATTGCTTACAAATAGACAGTTTCTTTCGGAATTTGATACTTACCTGTGTTCACAAAATTAAGGTGGTGACCAAGAGAGTATGAAAAGCTATTATGCAGAGTAAGCTTGTCAAATATGCATTGCCATTCTTGTACCAACATGATCCATGCTGGTTATGCTCAACTGTGGTGATGTTTTATGGGCCATAAATGGTCCAATCACAGCAATAGTCCTTTCTCTACATATGCACACACTTTCTGTCCATGTGTGCTACTGATAATCACACAAAGATTTTTCACACAAACTCCTTGTGAATGAGGTTCAGTTTCTCACTATTCTGTGATGAACAGTTTAGACCAAAGTACAATCCATCTGTCACTACTACCAGCAATCCTGGTATGAGTTTGAGGAGAAGCAAATAGAGGGATCAGATAGGGGGAGGAGATAGTCCCTGCTCTTTAGTTTAGGCGAGATATCGGTCAGCTGACAATATAAAGCTCCATATTATTGTTTATTACACAGTTCATGAACCTAAGGATTATGTACCTTGCATTACAAATAGGACACAAAAGAAACCGTAGCACTTTACCTTTGTGTATTGGCAGACTTAGATAACTATTTATATGCCTGTGGTGCTCTGTTGCCCTCCCCAGAATTCTGCAACATTAGTGTCTATGCTGGTTGTGCAGGGAAATCAGTCTCTTCCGTGCAAATGCAAACACTTTTCTTTCCAGGGTCCTGAGAAAATCTCCAGATAGCGGACGTCATTTGGCTAACAGTAGAAGAAAAATTGTGTGGTCATCATACAAATGCCTTGAATAAAAAAAATGAACTGAGGGCCACACATTCTAATTTTATATAGTTGAAAGGATTTGGGGAAAAAAGGGTTTACTACATAAATTCAAAGGTCAAAATATTTCATATTTGTATATAAAGTCCACTTAACAAAAGAACAAGGCAAATTTTGCAATTCGCTGATGAGTATATCCATCAATGTGGTATGTAGGCATGTTATCATAGGAAAATCTGTTACTGTAAGCCAAGTGCACCCTCATGTTACAAAATCATTTAACATGCCTAACAAATTCTAGAGTTCATACCTGGGAGAAGTTTTTACTTTCTCCAGCACTTTCTAGGCTATCATTTGTGTTTTCTTCCTCTTGCTGCATCTCATATGTGTCAGGAAAGTGGGATACAGACGGTATGCATACATCCTGATTGATGGTAAATTTCAGAAGGTCAAAGTACCACAGACGTGGTATGTAGATGTCCTCACCAGAAGCACCAGATTTTATTGATGCCTCCACTTTCTTTAACTCCTTCTTGAATACTGTTCGCAAATTTGCAATCTTATGTTTAACAAGGTCTACAGTTGCTGAGGGACATACTGTTTTACAAAGATTGACTAGTTTTTCATATGCCTCTGCTTTTTTCTGCCTATTGGAATAATCAGAACATTTTAATTTCCACAAACAAGGTAAAGCCTTATACATTTCAATAAATTGTTTTAGAAACTCTGGGTTCATAAAAATTTCTGTTGATGTTTTCTTCTTTGCAAGAACCTACACAAAAAAGGGGAAAGAAAAATACAATACGTATTAATGTACTGTGACACAGTTAATGTTTGGAGCATTAATTTGAAAGCTAAAATCCTGAATATTTTAAGTAACATGATTTTCTTTAGCGCTCGCTCTCTTGAGCATGCTTTCATTATATGCATTTCTGGATTTTATGGGCTAACTAAGCTTTAAAAGAGAATGCAATTCTGAGGTATGAAATTTGGGAGAGCCCTGGGAGAGCCTGAGGATCTGCTTTAAATTAGAAGATCCTGTTACATTTCTGCATACTATAATAACACTGCAATTACATAGTTATACAAATGATTTGAAGTGATGACCTGACCTATCCTAAAAAGTACCTATAGCACAAAACATGCTGTAAAGGCAAGCACTGTGTAGCATGTGTGTTGGTCTTCAAACTGATCTCGGTACAGCTCCTTGGATACTACGCCCTGATCTTAAAACAGTTAACGATTGGCTAGCTCATGTGTACATCTTGGGCCCCTGGCATCCAAAAAGGTATAAACTAATCAATATTAGGAGTAACACAGGTAATTAAAGAAGCAAAACTTTTACCAACCATTGTAGTGGGGCTACCCCAAGCACTGCAAGGGTTAACTGCTTGTTTCTGTTTAGGTGCTAAAGAAAAAAGTTACACATACTTGAACTGCAGACCCTGGTTTTTATCCAGTGAAAATGCAGTTACAATTGTTCTGGGTGAATTAACCAGCTGTTGTGAGAATGGAGCAGAAAGTAATGTTCTTGGGTACATTCTCTTCTGGTTGAATAATAATCAATAAGTTATTTCATACAGAACAAGGTAAATAAGGAAAATCCCACATTATGGCCACAAGATGGAGGGTAAGGGTCATAAGAAATAAATACATGCTGGGAACAAGATACAATGTTACAACTACAGAGCACTGTAGGGACTAAGCAAACAATTAAAACCATTACTACAATTTGGGGATAGGAATGGTTACATTTCAATGCTTATTGTCTCAGGTGTTCGTTTAAGTTGTAACACTGTATCTTGTTTTTTGTTATGTATTTCCTATGATCCTCCTCAGCTCCAACTAGTGGCCATAATGCAGTATTTTCCCAGTTCACGCTGCTCTTTTTAATTAAACCTATTAAAGAACATGTAATCAGAAGAGAAGATACACCAACATTTGATTTTGCCCGAAACTCACAACAGCTGGTTAACTCAACAGAATAAATGTCCATGCCGTTTCAATAGATAAATAGCTAGGCAATTTGTTTTTATCAATAGACCCAAGTGCACTCAAGCACTACTTATCTTAGGCAGTTGAAAGGCTAGGGAAAATTTACTTTAACATATCCAGGATTAGGGGCAATAGAAGCCTTCATTAAATTTGAAAAAAAAACAATATGCCTACCAACAGGATTTTTACAATGATCTTCTTTCAGAACATGAGGTTTTTTTTTTGGTACAATGCTTTAATAAACACTCAGCAGATTTTATTATAAATGCACGAGTTGGAAAACATAAAAATCCCCTTTTTGGTAATTTCACACAATTTTAGAGCCAATAATGTTGCACATATTTGCATTAAAAGGTTTTCTTAAAGTTGATAAAACGAATGATCTGCGCTATCGAAAAAAAAAAAAGGTGAGAAAAAGAAGAAAAACCGGACTAGCTACAAGCCGCTCAACTCAGGCTCTTAAGCCTCAAAAGGTTAATTGATCAATGGTGTAGCGCTATAAGCCTCACAGTGTGGTTACCAAAAAAAAGTGTATTAAATTAAATAAATAAATAAATTAAATAAATGAATAAATAAATGAATAAAACCTTTGAATGTGTTGGTCTTCTCTCTAAACAACGTATGTCTATCTCATTCACGAAAAAACACGTTTTTAGACTGATGTAGAACAAAGGGTGTGCGTCCCAACTTGAAGTGCCCGAAAAGCTGCTTGTCAGAAGAAAAACCCCCCGTAGGGGATGCACTCACCAGATAACGGAACGTATTTTAAAAAATGGGTGTTTTGTGGCAATTAAGTGCATTTTTCACCAAATGTTGGGGTTTGATAAAGAGTTGCGCTAATATTGTGCAACATAAAAAGTTGCAACTGCTGACATTTTATTCTACAGGGTTTTGGCTTTCAGAAAATATATGTTTGGGGGTTTGAGGTAATTTTCAGGCCTAAAATGTGGATTATATAATGGGTGCACAATACAAAAAAAAAAGCCTCGGTTATGAAGGGGTTAAAAATTGAAAGGAAGCTCATTATAGGCTAAACATGTAGCCTAGCACTGCTGACCACTCCTGAAAATGCTAGTTGCCTGGTTATAACAATTAAGTTTGCTTCAATAGTGTGGGTCACTGACCAAGAACCGGCATGCAAGTAAAACGTCTGACTTTTCTGATCTGCATACTTGTAGTGGGTAGGATATTCAAAGAATTGAAGTTAGAATGTATGCATGACAACCAGGAAAATTGTCAGGAGGAGGTCAAAAAAAGAGGCAGCTCACAAAACCGTTTGGACCAGTTTACTTGAAAGTGCTACATCAATACAAACCACACAGTATCTGTAATCACCTACTATGTGCTGGGAAGGTTGCTATATGCTATGTCTGAGATATTTCCTCAACTTCTACTTATACGTTCATAAAGCATTTGCAAAGGAAGTAGAATTCCTAGCTTTTCTTTTTTTTTACTATTTATAAAGGATGAGCACAGGTTACATGCCATAAGAGTGAAAATGTGGACCAGGCGCAGCTGGTATAGTGGTCCAATAGGCCAATGAGAGAATTACCAGAGAAGTATACAAAGGGCTGTAGAATGGCACATCAAAAAATTCCAATGATTACGCAAAAAGAAAATGCAATAAAAGGGAAGCTTTCCAGGGCATGTCTTGGGGTCAACCCAAATTTTCAGGGAAAGGAGCAGGGGGGGAAGGAGCAGTAGTATTTAGGAACTTCTCTTCCCTGTGATGCAAGGTAGCGGTCAGTTCTTCCATATGCCAGAGTTCTAAAATCCGCCCCAGCCACAGAGACATAGAGGGAGGAGAGGTCTGTTTCCAAAGGAGTTGAATGCAGGAGGAAGTAGCAGATAACATTTTGTTGGTCAAGGATTGTTTATATCTTTTTAAGGGTACCTCAGTAAGGTTAAGTAAATATCCCAGGGGGGAAAATAAATATCCCAGGGGTTCTCGGCCGAGATCTACCCCAGTGAGTTGGCGAATCAACTGTCTTACATCTTCCAAAAGGACCACAAAAGCCGGCAGCTCCAAAATATATGCAGAAATGTACCCGGGTGGGTGAGACACCTCCAACATAGATGGGATACAGACAGATAGATCCCGTGGAGAAGAACCTGAACTCTATACCATCTGCTGAGAAATTAAACATTTTCTTCCTGAACTCTACTCGTAGTATAATAGCCCTAGATTTCTGGGCAGGAGTCAAAATAATTCCCAGATCTTCCTCTCCTTTGCATAAATAATGGGGGCTATAGTCCTCCTCAGGTGTAATAAGCAATTTGTACAACAGGGACAACGAATTTGAGACCGGAGATCCTGCTTGACAGAGTGATCCAAAGGAGGTGAGTGGTCTGTGTAGGGCCCTACTAGATGGATTTGCCTTCAATTGCCTTCTTAGTTGGAAGGATGACTAAAAGTCCAGGGGAGGGTCGACAATTACATGAATTGCAGGTAGGGTCATCCATCCAGATGGAGTAAAAAAAATGAGACAACCGGAATTTCCCAGAGGGTAAGAGACGTCGGAGGCTTTTGGTCCAAGCTGGAAAGTCAGGATCCCCCCACAATTGGCGTCAAAGGAGATGGGAAACGGGAGATCAGTTTCAACGGATAAGTCCTCTTTACAACCCTAAGGCTCGGACCTATAGTTGGGTGGGATATTAAATCCCTAGAATGTGCAGATGAAAGCCAAGGGAGTCTGGCAAGGTGAACCGACGTGAAAGTTTAACCCAAACCCCAGGGTGGCCCTGGAACAGAGTGGACAGACCAGTTCAAGGTCCTAGAAAGATGGTTGGCCTGGTAATATAACAGTAAATCCGGTAATCCTATCCCACCAGTTGTTTTAGAAGGGTTTAGAGTGGATGTACGTGTTCGAGGCACGGTATCTTCCCAGATGAAACGTAATAATAAAGAACGGGCACTCTGAAAGAACAGCTTCGAAATGGCTATCGGTAAAGTCTGAATGAGATAAAAGACCTGAGGTAGGGTGGTCATCTTGAAAGCACTACATCTGCCAAACCAGGTCAGAGAGGGAATGCCAGTGTTGAAGGTCCAACCTAATTTTCTTTAGAAGGGGGAAAGTTCACATTATAAATCTGAGAAAAGTCAGATGCAAGATGTATCCCCAGGTATAAGAAGACCGAGCCCACTGAAATGGAAAGGAGACTCTCAGGGTCTCGACTTTTGATGCAGGCAATGAGATGTTAAATGCCTCTGACTTGTGATAATTTTAAAATTGGAGAGATTCCCGTAAAGCGTAAAAAGGGAAAGCAAGGATGGAAGCGACGTATCCAGATCGGTGATGCAAAAAGTTCGTCCACGTAAGCCATAACTCTATGGTTACTCGCCCCCCCCCCCCCCCCCCCCCTTAACCCCCCGAAGTTTCTGTTCAACCCCAGTTTAAGCCCCTGAATTTTCGTGTCAGCTTTAATTCAGCACAGCAGTGGTTCCAGAGATAGGGCAAAAATCAGGGGAGAAAGATGCAACCTTGGCGGGTACCATTAGACAAGCCAAAATAGTCTCAGTGAGTGAGTTTCATTAAAACGGACAGCTGCTTGCAAGGTGGAGTAAAGAGCATTGATCCAAGCTAGCATGTTAGCACACGGAGCAAAATACGCCATAGTGGACCTCAGAAATTGCCAGTCCACCCGGTCAAAGGCCTTTTCCGTGTCAGTAGAAAGTTTCATCAGCGGGCAGGCCCTTGACCTGGCGGAGTGGATCATATTGAGGGCTCTGGTAGTGTTATCACGGGCTTCTCTGCCGGGGATAAAGCCAACCTGATCAGGATGAATTATTGTATGTGTAGGCTAACAACCGGTTAGCCAATATTTTTGAGAATAATTTCAAATCCACATTCAGGAGGACAACTGGCCAGAATTTGCACAATTAGTCAAGTCTTTGTCCGGCTTGGGAATGACAGAAATGTGAGCTCTAAGAACATCCACAGGTAAGGCCTGCCCCAGCGTAATCGAATTGTAGGTTTTGAGCAACCAAGGAGTCAAGACCTCCTTGAAGGTCTTATAAGTAAGGATTAGGCCATCTGACCCTGGGGATTTCCCTGCTTTGAGCCCAAGAAAGAGCTGTAAAAAATGATCTCTCAGTAAGTGGATGTTCCAGAGAAGACACCGCTTCTGAAAAGAGTGTAGGGAGCCCAGAAGATTTTAAAAACTGGTCAATCAGAAGTTGTTTAGAGGGAGGTGAGGCCGGGTAAGCAGGGGACAAATTATAAAGATCTCTATAAAAACGTAGGAATTCTTGAGCAATATCCTTGGAGGTGGAAAGCCGTGTTCCAGATGGAGAGTGTACATGGGAGAGAAAGTTTTTAGATCAATAGCCTCGCAATGCTCTAGCGCGCATTCTGCTTGGCTTGTTGGAGTATTCAAAAAAGGCCTGTCTAAACCTCAGCAGTTTGGCGGAAGTGCGGCTAAATAACAAAGAGTTCAACCGCTTCCGTAATTCCTGAAGTTGTGAAAAAAAACGCCGAGGCCACAGACTTCTTGTGCACAACTTCCAAATTCTGTATCTGAGATAGAAGGGTGTGTACTAGGTAAGGCGTTGACGTTTGAAGTGGGAACCATGTTTAATGAACAACCCCCTTACTGTACATTTATGAGCCTCCCACATCACCGAGGGGTGATGTAAGTATCATTCATCTGAATGCCTGTTTTTAACACCAAAATGCATTACTTTACATTTTTTTTAACCTCTGCCATGTAGTTGCCCACTCCCTTATTTTATTCAGGTCCTCCTGTATTGTTATGCCTAGAGCTGCAACAAGTATTCAATTTAGTCAATTCAAATTGACGATGGAAAACGTTGTCAACATTTTCCATCGTCGATTAGTCAGCTATCAATGAGATCGCCTGTTCGCGGCTCCACAGTCACACACAAGTCGTATGCCGCGCACGCCACACAAACTGAGGACTCTGCTCCTCTTCTCCTTGTGAGCTTCCTGACTCGCTGCAGCCCACCGAATCGTGGGTCCCACGATTCATTCAAGGTGAGTCATGGTATTAAAACAATGCTATGCGGCCTGACTCTTGCAAGCAATGCTCAAGTTGGTTCCCTTGATGTCTTTGGGTATCACAGTATGCTGATTATAGAGGTATTAGATCCCCTTGCAACAACACAGTTTTCTACTGTCTGTAGGCCTGCTATGCCCATTATGAGGGGCTAATTTTGTTTATTGAAAATTCTTACAAACAAGAACATATATACAAGAAAACAATAAATAAATAAAACATATTTACAAAATAATTGAATATTACTATACAAAACCAAAAATATAATACTTGGTGCAAACCGAATTGCGCACAGCATAAACCCTATGAGTCAGACTAATGAACATCACCGTCACCATGCATGTAGCCTCCTATCAAAAATGTATTTGATCTAAAAATCTAGGGGAGTGAAGAAAGGACAGAGAGAAAAGCCGCACACCCCGAGATCAACAGGCAGCAGCTACAGAGTCCTGATATTCCTCCACGCCTTTATCCAGGCCCCCTGCTGCCACCTAAACCCCCCATCCAGGCCATATTTGCCAAGAAGGAGCCATAGATACTCATGATTAACCCGATCAAAGGCCTTAGCCTGATCCAATGTCAGCAGAAATTTACCCCAACCAGCAGCCCTACAGCGCTCCAAGGCCTCCCGGACAGCTACCACAGCTGAGAAAGTGCTTCTACCCTGGACCGAGCAGTGCTGGTGGCGGGATAACAAACCGCCTGCC